AGAAGAAATGGATAAATTCTTATACAACAACAGGACTAATCACAAAAAAATAGAAAATCATAGTGAGTAGAGAAACTGAATCGGTAGTCAAAACCCTTCCAACAAAGAAAGGCCCAGGATAAAATGGCTTCTTGTGTGAATTCTACCAAACATGTAAAGAACTAATACCAATGCTTGTTAAATTCTTCCCAAAAATTGAAGAGAAATAAATACTTCCAAATTCATTTATAAGGCCAGCATAAACCTGATACCAAAACCAGACAAGACACTGAAAGAAAAGTATAAGCCAATATTCATGATGAACATAGATGCAGAAACCCTCAACAAAATACTAGCAAGCCAAATTCAAGAGCACATTAAAAGAATCATTCACCATGATCAAACAGGATTTATCCTTGGGATCCAAGAGTGGTTCAACCTATCCACATCAATCAGTGTAATATACCACATTAACAGAATGAGAGATACAAATCATATGATCATTTTAATAGATGGAGAGAAAATATTTGACAAAATTCAGAACTCTTTCATGATAAAAACTCAACAAATTATGCAGAGAAGGAACTTAACACAATAAAGACTATGAAAACCCCACAGCTAAAATCATACTCAATAGTGAAAAATCTGAGTTTTTCCTCTAAGAGCTGGACAAGATAAAGATGCCCACTCTTGCCACTTTTATTCAACCTAGAACAGAAGTCCAGCCAGAGCAATTAGTCAAGAATAAGAAATAGGAGGCATCCAGATAGGAAGGGAAGAAGTGAAATTGCCTGTTTTTGATCTTGTATGTAGAAAAATCCAGAGGCCAGGCGTGGTGGCTCACGCCTGTAATCCTAACAGTTTGGGAGGCTGAAGTGGGAGGATGACTTAGCACAGGTTTTCGAGAATAGCCTGGGCAACAAAGCAAGACCCTGTCTGTATTAAATTTTTAAATCTTTTTAAAAAGAAAAAAGAAAACCCCAGAGACTCCACTAAGAATACTATTAGAACTGACAAACAAATTTAGTAAAGTTTCAAGATACAAAGTCAACATATAGAAGATCAGTAGCATTTCCATACACTAACAGTGAACTTTCTGAAAAAGAAATCAAGAAAACAATCCCATTTATGGTAACTTTTTTAAATTTAGGTATAAATTTAACCAAGGAGTTGAAGAGTCTGTATATTGAAACCTGCAAAACATTGATGAAATAATTTTAAGAGGACACAAATAAATAGAAAGATATCCTGTACTCATGAATTAGAAGAATTACTGTTGTAAAAAATGAGCATATTACCCAAAGTGATCTATAGATTCAATGTAATCACTATCAAAATTTCAGTGACACTTTTTCACAGAAATAGAAAAAAAAATTCGAAAATTTATATGGAACCACAAAACACCTCAAATATCCAGTTAATCTTGGGCTAAAAGAACAAAGCTAGAGACATCACACTTCCTGATTTCCAAATATATGACAAAGCTACAGAAAGCAAAACACCGTGATACTGGCATAAAAACAGACATAAAGATCAATGGAACAGAAGAGAGAGCTCAGAAATAAACCCACACACTACAGCAAATTGATTTTCATCAAAGGTGTCAAGAACACACAATGGAAGAAAGATAAGTCTCTTTGATAAATGGTGTAAGAATACTGGATATCCACATGCAGAACAAGGAAATTGAACCCTTATCTCTCACCATGTACACAAATCAACTCAAAATGAGTGAAAGCCATGAATAAAAGACCAGAAACTATAAAACTACTGTAAGAAAACATAGGGGAAATCTCCATGATATTGATCTGGGCAGTGATTTTCTGGATATGACCCCTAAAGCACAGGCAAAAAAAGTAAAAGTAGACAAATGGCATTGCACCAAACTAAAAAACTTCTGCACAGCAAGGAAACAAAAGAGAAGAGTCAACCTATGAATTGGGAGAAAATATTTGCAAACCATACACCTGAAAGGCGTTAATATCCAAAGTATATAAAGAATTTAAAGACTGCTATGGCAAGAAAACAACCTAATTTAAAATTGGACAAAGGACGTGAATAGACATTTCTCAAAAGAAAGACATACAAATGGTCAACATGTATATGGAAAAATGCTCAACGCAACAGACATACGCTAATTAAACAATGAGAGATTACCTCACACTTGTTAGGATGGCTGTTATCAAAAAGACAGAAGATAACAAATGTTGGCAAGGATGTGAGAGAAGGGACACTTGTACACTGTTGGTGGGAATGTAAATTAACACAGGCATTATGGAAAACAGCATGGAAGTTCCTCAAAAAATGAAAAATAGAACTACCATATGATCCAGCAATCCTACTACTGAGTATGTATCCAAAGGAAATGAAATCAGTGCGTCAAAGAGATGTCTGCACTTCCATGTTCATTGCAGCGTCGTTCACAATAACCAAGATACGGAAGCAACCTCAGTGATCTTCAATGGATGAATGGATAAACATAATGTATTGTATGTACCCAGTGGAACACTATTCAGCTTTAAAAAAGAAGGAAATTTCTGTCATTTGTGATAACATGCCTGAACCTGGAGGACATTATGCTAAGTGAAATAAGTCAGGCACAGAAAGACAAATACTGCGTGATCTCACTTATAAATAAAATCTAAAAAAAAATGTAACTTACAGAAGCAGAGAGTAGAATAATGATTACCAAGGGTGGGAGGGGAAGATCAGGGAATAGAGAGATGTTGGTCAAAGGGTACAGAGTTTCCATTACACAGGAGGAAAAAGTTCTGGAGATGTGTTGTCCAGCATGATGACTATAATTAACAATATTATTTTGTATATTTTTTAATTGCTAAGAGAATATATTGTAAATGTTCTCATCACACAAAAAAAATGCTAAGAATGTAAGGTGATGGACATGTTAGTTAGCTTGACTTAATCATTCCACAATGTGTACATATATCAAAATGTCATGTTGTGTACTGTAAATATATTAAATTTTTGTCAATTATGCCTTAATAAAAAATAAACATAAAAAGAGAAAGTGGATCTTCTTGGCTGGTTAATAGTATGGGGAGGAAACCTTTCACTGTATATTATGTATTTATGTATAATTACTCTTTCGTAACTTTCGAATTGTGAACCATGAAAATGTAATACTCAAAAATTTAAACTAATAAACTTTAAAAGGAGAGAGATGAAATAAACCATTTAATTGGTAAGACTTTAAAAGGCTTAACTGATAAGGCCACAGTGAAATGTATACTCCACAAATAAGGATTTCATCTTTTTTTCAGCTGCTCATATTTTATATATCAGACTATTTTTTTTAAGTCTTTACATTTCTGAAAGTTTTGCAGTTTCTAAGGTCCAAACGATGTCTGTGTTCCAAGTGCTCCAGTGCAATGAAGAACTGGGTGGCCACACCTTGATTCTGTGAGTCGAGATGAACCTTTGTTTTGTTTTGTTTTTTGTTTTGTTTTGTTTTGTTTTGTTTCATTTTTTGAGGCAGGATCTCACTCTGTCGCCCAGGCTGGAGGGCAGTGGCTGGATCATAGCTCACTGCAGCCTCTACCTCCCAGGCTCAGGCAATCCTCCCACCTCAGCCTCCCAGATAGGTGGGAGTACAGGTGTGCACCACCACGCCTGGCTAATGTTTTGTATTTTTTTGTAGACATGGGGTTTCATCATGTTGCCCGGGCTGGGAAAAGATCATTTTTGCATGGCCAAATATGTGCACAACACATGCTTCACCTCTCTCCTTTTTCCACACTAGGATAAAACAATATTAGCCCTTGTCTCCCCACCCCCAATTTTTTAATTGCTCCATCTTCAAAGGCAACTGCTGTACTTAATTTGGAGTAGGTCATTCCCTTACATTCCTTTGTACTTGGACTACATGTGTATGTACCTGAGACTGGAGTATGGCTTGTTGGTTTCACTCTGTGCATTTTGTACGATGGAGTAAGTTGACATGTATTCTTGTGCATCGTGCCTCTTTTCTCCCTGCGTTATGAAATTCACCCTGGTTAGTGCCACCTGAATCCCAGCTCAGCTACTCACTAGCTGTGTGTCCCTGGCTGGGATACTGCACTCTGTGTGTCCCAGTTCTCTCATCCATAAAACGGGGCAACAACAGCAATCCCCGTGCGTCTGGTGTAGCAGCGAAGGAGTCTGTCTCCGGGAGACTCTCAGAAGCATGCCCGGTGGATCCTAAGTGCTATGTACGGAGATGCTGGCTCCATTTTAGAGCTGAGGATACTGAGTCTCAGAGAGCTTATGCAGCTTGTCTTGGTCACGTGACGAGTGATGAGCAAAGCCCCGGGGGCCAAACAGGAAGCGTGTCCTGTCATTGTCACCTTTATATCTCCTGGAATTCACAGCTCTCTGTGGCAGTGAGTGCTCAGTGAACACTGTTGTATTGAACTGAATTATATGTTTTTTTAAACAAATGTATAATAGTTCTACAGTGGTGCTAATCCTATGTGAACTGGATGCTTTTTAACAAATATTTTATAATTTAGGAGGATAAAAGGTCTTTTGTCACTGTAGGGAATATCAATTAAATCACTGGTGAAAGAAACCAACTCATGAAAATGGAAGTTATTGCAAGAGTGGCTGTTGCCATCAGAGCCTGGCAGGAAACAGTGGCATCCTCCCCCTGGATTTTGATGAGTTGTGGGCAGGGCTGGCACATCCAGCTGTTGCTGAGACGTTGAGGAAGCTGTGGCCTCCCCTAGAGTTTGTGGAACCTCCAAGAGCTGGAGCGGGTGGAATTAGGGAAGGAATTGGGCTCCGAAATGTCCAGACTCTCTCTCCATCTATACTGAGGTTGCTGCCCCCTACTCAGGAATCCAGCTAAGGGTAGATGGCAGGCAGGACCCCCACCATACCCCATAAGGGGTCGGCCTGCAGGGTCCAGGGCCAGGCAGAGAGGAGATACTGACCAGCACAAATACTTCCTTCCAGACAGGAAAAACAGTCCTCCTCTCGATAGGGATCTGTGAAAATGCTATGATTATTTTGGTTTTCACTAGGTTATTGAGGATATCATTGCAAACCAAGAAGAAGAAGAAAAAAACGAAAAGAAGAAAAAGAAGAAAAAGGAAAAACAACCTAAGAAAACCAAAAGACAAAAGAAAGGAACCAAGGAAAAAAATAAGGTAAAATATTTGTACAAATTTTAGAAATTTGATTTCATTTTCTTTTTAGTGACTTTTTTGCTTTGGGTCAATGAGATATTTCCAAATCTGTTGGGATTGCAGCCATTTGTTTCCTGGAGAAACCATGTTATCTACCAACAGGTTTTCAATTTTTAAATACTGATCAGCAATCCATTGCCACATTTTCTATAACTTGTAAGTATCAATTAGGATCAGTCGTGGTTTCAACACTCAGATACCTCACATGTTGACTCACATATGTGATAGCTTTAAGTTTTCCTTCCTCAGAATAAATTATCCCATTTTTCTTTCCTCAGTGGTAGAGAGAAGTAAAAATACTTAACAAACCAAGTAAACACTGGAAAGTCAAAATAACATACTAATTTAACCAAAATGTGTTCATTCACATTTATCATCTAGCACTGACATCTGGATATATTTTAACGGAAGTATTTGTTACTAAAGGAAATCAGAGTTCACACAGTGTCATATTGGGCCTGTCCTTGCCTCGTGTAGGGGGTTTGGAAGTGGAGGTGGGATGAACTTGCCAATAACTGGGGGGGTCTTCATGGTGAAACCTGCAGGAGAAGTGCACTCTCAGGGCTCATGTGTTCTCAGCAGAAACTCTTTCTATGGGAAATGGATCTCAGGCTTGAAGATGGTCTCATCCTAAAACATAACTGTTTGAAGTAGACTATGTTGCAGTCAGATACCACTTCACGGCTGACCAAAATCCAATCGGAATCAGCTTGAGGAGTGGATCCTTAAAGACATTTATGCAGCCAAGAAACATATGAAAAGAAGCTCATTATCACTGGTCATTAGAGAAATGCAAATCAAAACCACAATGCGATACTATCTCACACCAATTAGAATGGTGATTATTAAAAAGTCTGGAAACAACAGATGCTGGCAAGGCTGTGGAGAAATAGGAACACTTTTACACTGTTGGTGAGAGTATAAATTAGTTCAGCCATTGTGGAAGATAATATGGCGATTCCTCAAGGACCTAGAACCAGAAATACCATTTGACCCAGCAATCCCATTACTGGGTATATACCCAAAGGATTATAAATCATTCTATAAAGACACATGCACACGTATGTTTATTGCAGCACTATTCACAATAGCAAGACTTGGAACGAACCCAAATGCCCATCAATGATAGACTGGATAAAGAAATGTGGCACATACACACCATGGAATACTATGCAGCCATAAAGTGAATGAGTTCATGTGCTTTGCAGGGACATGGATGAAGCTGAAAACTATCATCCTCAGCAAACTAACACAGGAACAGAAAACCAAACACTGCATGTTCTCACTCATAAGTGGGAGCTGAACAATGAGGACACATGGGCACAGAGTGGGGAACATCACACACCGGGGCCTGTTGGGGAGTAGGGGGCAACGGGAGGGAGAGCATTAGGACAAATATGTAATGCACTCAAGGCTTTAAACCTAGATGATGGGTTGATAGGTGCAACAACCTATGTGACAAGCCTGCACGTTCTGCACATGTATCCCAGAACTTAATATTTAAAAAAAAAAAAATCATGATCCCGCTGTTACTGCAATCTGCATCAGCTCTCCAGAGTGGATCGGTAGAGGTTATGTGACCCAGCTCTGGCTCAGACAGCCACAGTCATGCTCCTCATGTTCCAAGGATGGTTCTGACCAGCACGCAGACTCGCGAGCTTCTGCATGGGAGGAGCAGCTCCGAGGGTCTGGCAGACCGTGTCTGGGAACCCTGGTGCCAGGTCACAGTGGGAGAGAAAAGGGACAGCCTGTGCAGTCAAGTAGGACGAGCTACTTGAGCTGAGTCAGAAGTTACGAGCAAGGGAGAAGGGGTAATGGTAAACATAAAATCACAGCACCCAAATCTGGCATAAACTCACAGTGTAGGCGATGGTAACAAAAGCCAACATTTTGGCCAGGCATAGTTGCTCACACCTGTAATCCTAGCACTTTGGGAGGCCAAGGCAGGCGGATCACCTGAGGTCGTGAGTTCGAGACCAGCCTGGCCTACATGGTGAAACCCCATCTCTACTAAAAATACATACCTGTAATCCCAGCACTTTGGGAGGCCAAGTCGGGTAGATCACCTGAGGTCAGGAGTTCAAGACCAGCTTGACCAACATGGTGAAACCCCGTCTCTACAAAAATACAAAAATTAGCCAGGCGTGGTGGCAGGTGCCTGTAATCCCAGCTGCTCAGGAGGCTGAGGCAGGAGAATCGCTTGAACCTAGGAGGCAGAAGTTGCAGTGAGCCAATAAAGTGCCACCGCACTCCAGCCTGAGTGATAGAGTAAGACTTTCTCTCAAAATATATATATATAAATTTAAAAGTAAATAAATAAATAAAAGCCAACCATGTGTTCAAAGCGCTGGGCATGACTGCGGCTGGCCGGCTGAAGGCAGTCGTTCATTTCACATGCTTGGCTCCTGCACTGTGACCCACAGTGGATCTTCCGTCTGCCTCCATTTGTCTTCATCCCTTTCTTTAACCACGTTCCACTGATGTTCACTGAATGAACAAAAGAAAAGAGACCCCTTACTGCTCATTTGGGGCCCAACCCAATTCACTGGCAGTAGACGCTGAGTTGGGCCCCTCGGATACCCCTTTCGGGACCAAGGCACTCAAGCACCTGGCTCCCCACATGCCGGTGCTGACACTCACAGCTGAATCCCACCCCAGGAATTGCTACAGTCTAAGGGTGCCACTGCAAGCAAGGTTACACCCCTTCTGGGGCAGCCTGCATCCAAGGATAGTCACGTGATAGTACCAAAACCCAGCCCCTCTCCTTGCCTGGACAACTCCGAGGGTTCTCCCAGCTTCTGCTGTTCCCTCTGGGATCAGCTGACAGCTCTCTTGCAATTGCATCACAACTTAGCTTCTCCCTCTGCCCAGGGCTGCTTCCCTCCCTCTCTTCTTTCTGGCTGGTGTTCCCAGTAGACCACCTACATCCATCTCCATCTGAGTGTTTCCAGGGAACCCGATCTGGGAGACCGCCTAGGGCCCTATTGTTCTGTCTGTACCCCGGAAGTTCTAGCTTGTTCTGGAAAAAAAATAAAAGCCCCCTGAATACAGTTAATTTTAAAAATCATACACTTACTCTACAAGATAATTTTGAAGAAGTGCCTAAGAATAAAGAGAATTGGAAGCATTCCAATTTTATTCTAAGAATCTCTTCCTCTAAATATGCACGAGGGAGTTTTATACTTGCAAATTAAAAATTCGCTGTTAGTGAAGCTTGTTCCGTATAAATCTGAAATTACCAGCTACACAATCTGGTCTTTGTTGAGTGAAAGTATTTTATTAACTAGCTATTAAAGAGTCACTTAACGATGAACAGTTTTGAACAAAAAGCAAAGTTTGAGAACATCAGCATTTATGAAATGCTTGCAAATGAAGGGGAAACGCCTTCAGAATCAGAAATGAAATTTTTCATGAAAAATGCAGGTCTGCATAGTGACAATGTGATCATTAAAAGAAGAAAGGGTCATCTCTAATAAACATTGATATATTTAAGTTATGCTGCTACACTTCTTAGAGATCACATTACCTTTTCCAGAGACTTTTTAAAAGTCTTACTCTGGTGTCAACCCCAGAGAACCTCAAACCATTCCTGAGACCAGTTATTCAAATCCTTTTGTGAGAATTGACATTTTGACCTAGAGCAAAAGGCACTCTAATTCCTCGTGGTTAGAGGGCACGGGAGAAGACAGAGGAAAGCAGTTCTGTCTAACATGTCTGGTTGCTGGCTTATCCCAGCCCTCGCAGGGCCCAGCTGCATGATTGTTCTTTCAGTATTTTGGTAAGACCACATATCAATTGCCAGTTCTAGATGCATAATCAGAAAACTTGGAAAAGACCTTATATTTAAAAACTGATAGGATTATCTGAATATTTCAACTAACCTCTTTAAATGGAAAACAAGTTATTTTCTAAATATCACACAGGTAGAGAGCTAAAAGCTTTGCAAGTCCATGAGATAGTTACAAATTAACATAAATATGAAAAAATCTATTATAAGTGCAAAAAAGTCATGAGAACTGCTGAACGTTTCGGTTGAATTTCACAATGAATCCGTGTTTCTGTGTGAATTTCCGATTTAATGCAGGGCTAGTGGAGTGGGAAAGAGCAGGGTTGTCATGGTGGATCTCTGTAATTGTACACAAGACCATTTTAGAATAAAACATCTTGTCATCAGTAATCTTGCATGCATTTGATCTTTTCATCAAGAAACTTGGTGAAACAGTTTAATGTTTAAAAGATGAATGTTTTCATTTCCTCATTTGGATCCATCGGAGCCCCTCCATACTGAGATGCTGAAAGACAGAAGAAAGCAGAACAGTCTGGGATGTTCGTCTTCAGCTCGGGGCTAGTGGAAGAGAAAACACAAAAGCACAGTAGTCCTGCCCAGTGATTCGCACCTGTAATCCCAGCACTTTGGGAGGCTTGGTCAGGAGGATCACTTGAGGCCAGGAGTTGGCACCCAGCCTGGGCAACACAATGAGACCCCACCTGTACTGAAAACAAAAGAAAAAAGAAGCACAATAAATACATTCAAATATCAGGTTCTAAAAATTAGTCTCTCATTCATAGGCAAGAAAATGAATCTCTAGGTAAACTTCACACCTTACACAAGTATTAATTCAATATGGGTCATGGACTTAAACATAAAACTATGAAGCTTTGAGATTAAAAACATAGGAAAAACATCCTCAGAATCTAGAGCTAGGCAAAGAGGTCTTAGACTGGACACCAAAAGCAGGATCCATAAAAGGAAAAATTTATAAATTGGGCCACATCAAAATCAGAAACTGTTGCTTTGTGAAAGACCCAGTGAAGAGGATGAAAAAAAAAGCTATAGATGGGAGAAAATATTTGCAAACTATCTATCTGACAAAGGATTAGCACCTAGAATATATACAGAACTCTCAAAAAAAAAGTCTTTCTTTTGAGTCCTCAGTTTTAAATCCAAATTGTTGTGGACTGCAGTTAAGGACTGCTCTGTGGAAAGCGCTTTAACAGAAGACAATGCTAGTGCCAGGAGGAGGACATTTTCTGCAAACTGATAGCAGTCCTGCAAAAGTGTCTTCAATACCAAAGTAATCGCCTTTGTCTCACAGTTGTGTGGACCTCACATTGGCTTTAGAAACAAAAGTAACAGTAACAGAGCACTATGCAATCATCCTTACAACTCTTTCCTCTGTTATTTTTCAAGCCACGGGTTAGACCATTTGAAACAAGTTAAAGTGGTATTGACCTGTCACATGATCACATGAACATTAATGAGTCTTCTCTAAATTCACTCCAGCCTCAAAATGATTTAACTTAGTGCTAAATTCTTCTGGAAAGACCCTTGGACCTTTACAGAGCACAATTCACAATGAAAGCATTTGTTTATCTGCAGTGCCAGCAGACCTAACTCTGACCACAGCTCCTCCTCTCCAATCCCTTGGCCCAGAGAGGTGCTCCACATTGAACGATTAAGCCAACCACATTCTTAGGTTATTTTAGAACATTTCAAACCAAATTTTGCATGACTTTACAAAAATGGACAAGTGAATATCATGTATTTCCAAAGGAAATTATCCGGAATGAGGGCGCCATCGTGGAAGTGTATGTCTGGAGCATCTTCTGTGTCCACTGAAATACAATAAGAGAAGAAGATGGAAAGAAGTGAGGGGTTGGCTTATGGGCAATAGAGATAATAGAGTCCTTAGCCTAGGGAACAGGGGCCCCATGGTTAAACATCCTGCAATTTTATGTAAACTTTCATGGGAAGGAACGTTCTCCTGGGGAAAAGGTGTGTGGACTTTCTTCATGTTTTCAAGAGGTCCCTCCTATAAAAATCTCAAAGATCACTGCTTAGAGAAAGGACATATTTGGTTACACAGGCAAAGAGCCAATGGAGGCACTGCATACTCAAAGGAGGGTGATGATCTTAGACACCAGAGTGGCAGGGGAGGCTTCATGGGGGATATGGAATGGCAGGAGACTCTTTCAGGAGCCTATGCTCATAGCCCAAGTCTGCCCACTTCTCCCCATCTCCATGGCAACCACCTGACCAAGAGGCATCATTGCCTCTCAGGCTGCAACTGCACCAGCCTCCCAGCCAATGCCCCCACCTCCTCTCCTGCCATTCTACAGCCTGTTCCCCTGCAGCAGCTAGAGTGACCCAAAACTCTGATCGGCATCTCTCACAGCGCTTGGAACTCAAGAGCTATGCAGTAATTATTTTTGAAGAGATGAATAAATGCTCAAATGAAGATCTGCCCTGAAGTGAAAGTACTGGATATAAAAAGATGAAACAAATGCAAGAGACATCATGAAGGATGCAAGAGATACCACAAAGGATGACTGGCATGACTGACGGGGTGTGGAAGAAACAGGAGGAGACCAAGGAGTTGAAGTGAACTCCAGGTGTCTTGATTGGAACAGAGGGAAGATTGAGGGCAGACGGACCGGGGCTGGCTTTAGAGCTGTTGAGTCAAACCATTGTCTATGGTTCCACAGCTGGAAGTTCAGGACAGACTCAGGAGAGATAAAGACCAGTGGTGTGGATCAGGACATATCCCTGCTCAGGAAAACTCTAGTTGAAGGTGGGGCATGGATGAGGTATAGGAAAATCCATGTGAATGGAGGCTGGAGAATCCGGATTACAGCCACATATTGAGGCAGGAGGAAGAGGTAAAACCAACTGGGGGATGGGAACAGCATGGAAGCCAGGAAGAAATCCAGCACCATGAACTTCCTATATAGTCTTCCAACTGGGAATTTCTGGAAGGATAAAAGGAAGGTTTCCCTTCTGCCTCCTGAGTCCCTCTGCCATAAGAAGTGAGAACTGGCTGGGCGCAGTGGCTCATGCCTATAATCCAGCACTTTGGGAGGCCATGACAGAAGGATCACTTGAATCCAGAAGTTCGAGACCAGCCTGGGCAACATAGGGAGACCCCCATCCCTACAAACAATTTTTAATAAAATTAGACAGGCATGATGGCGTGTGTCTGTGGTCCCAGCTACTTAGGCAGCTGAGGCAGGAGGATCTCCTGAGCCTGGGAGGTCAAGGTTGCAGTGAGCTATGATTGCACCACCGCACTCTAGCCTGGGCAATAGAGGGAGATTCTTGTCTCAAAAAAAGAAAAAAAAAATTAGGCTCTACCAGCGAAATTTGATGGAGTGATGTCTCACAGGAAGTTTTCCACTCCCAGACATGGGTCCCTCGGCTTCCTGCCTCGGAAGTGCACAGGAAGCATCGTGGGAAGGCGAAGAGCTTCCCTAAGGATGACCCTTCCAAGCGGGTCCATCTTGCAGCCTTCCTGGGATACAAGGCTGGCATGACCCACGTCGTGCAAGAAGTCAACAGGCTAGGATCCAACGTGAACAAGAAGGAGGTGGTAGAGGCTGTGACCATTGTGGAGATACCGCCATGGTGACTGTGGGCATTGTGGGCTACGTGGAAACCCCTCAAGCCTCAAGGCCTACAGACCTCCAAGACCATCTTTGCTAAGCACATCAGCAATGAGTGCAAAAAGCACTTCTCTAAGAACTGACATAAATCTAAGAAGAAGGCCTTTACCAATTGCTGCAAGAAATGGCAGAATAAGGATAGCAAGAAGCAGCTGGAGCAAGACTTCAGCAGCATGAAGAAGTACTGCCAAGTCATCCACATCACTGCCCACACCCACATGCACCTGCTTCCTCTGTGCTAGAAGAAGGCCCCGCTGATGGAGATCCAGGTGAACAGAGGCACCGTGGCCAAGAAATTGGACTGGGACCGGGAGAGGCTAGAGCAGCAGGTACCTGTGAACCAAGTGTTTGGGCAGGATGAGATGATTGACGTCTTCAAGGTGACCAAGGGCAAAGACTACAAAGGGGTCACAAGTCATTGGCATGCCAAGAAGCTACCCTGCAAGACCCAATGAGGCCTGTGCAAGGTGGCCTGGATTGGGGCATGACATCCTGCCTGTGTGGACCTTCTCTGTGACATGCGCTGGGCAGAAAGGCTACCATCACCACACTACAAGAAGATCGATCTGTATGATCGGCCAGGGCTACCTTATCAAGGACGACAAACTGATCAAGAACAGTGTCTCCGCTGACCATGACCTGACTGACAAGAGCATCAACTCTCTGGGTGACTTTGTCCCATAAGGTGAAGTGACCAGTGACTTTGTCATGCTGAAGGAATGTGTGGTGGGAACCAAGAAGTGAGTGCTCACCCTTCACAAGTCTTTGCTGGCTCAGACCAAATGGTGGGCTCTGGAGAAGACTGACCTTAAATTTATTGACACCACTGCCAAGTTTGGCCATAGCTGCTCCCAGACCATGTAAGAGAAGAAAATATTCATGGAAAGTATTCATGAAACCACTCAAGAAAGACCAAATTGCAATATAAGATGGAGCTTAATGCCAGGAACAGATTTTGCAGCTGGTGGGGTCTCAATAAAAGTTATTTTCCACTGCAAAAAAAATGAGGAGTGAAAACTAAGGCTGTGATGGAGGCAATCAGGAGGTTCTTTAGAGAGAGAGGATCACAGGGAGTAAATGATGTAGCAGAGGTGAGAAGAAAGTGTGGTCAGGGCACTCCAGAGAAACAAAACCAATAGGAGAGCGATATATAAAAAAATACATGTGGCCTGTGTGTGTGTGTGTGTGTGTGTGTGTGTGTGTATGTGTGCATGTGTGTGTGTATATATCTCCTCTGTGTCCTTTTATATTTATAGAGAGAAAGATTCATTCATTAAGGTATTGGTTCCTTCGGTTATGGAGCCTGCGAAGTCCCACCATCTGCCATCTGCAAAAAGGGGCCCCAGGAGAGCTGGTGGTAGAGTTCAAAGGCCAGAGAGCTGAGGGCCCGTGTTGTAGACTCCAGCCCAAGTCTGAGGACTGGAGAGCTGGAGAGCCAGGAACCAGCTGGAGGCTTGCATGGCCCATGTGAGAAATGTGGTTTATTTCTTAGTACCATACTCATAACCAAGAAGATCTTTCTGATAAAAATTAACACAGATACCATCAAAGAAACTTGAGACAAATGTATTTAGGACATAGTTACATGTTTTTAGACTTCCCACAGTAGATTCTCTCCTATCTCTTGTATTTCTTTTGTATTTCAGAGTAGCACTCTGCAGCCCTCAAAGCCATGAGGAACGTTGATTCCCTAGTGCTGACGGAAATGCATGAGCAGAAAAGTAAAACGATAAGCTAAATGCAAGCTCAAAAATAGTGGAGATGCTTGATCTGTTTTTCAAGTTTAGTTGCATAAGCTATCACGTTGTTTGGTGCATGTTAATTTTTAAATATAGTTTTCAGCCATTATAGTTTCTGGGTTGGTTTTCACTTCTGAGTCTAGAGAAAGGGATAATTATTTCACTCTCAGATCAGTGGGAAATTGTCAGCCTCTTCAAAATCCCTGGTGGACCTCTCCCCCACCCCAGGATACAGACCCAGAGGGGAGGAGCAGGTAATCTGAAAGCCGCGGAGTGATCCCTTTGACGTTTGAACTTGTATGTTAACGGGTGTATGCCAAAATGTATACCTTCATTTTGAAAAATCTAACAGTTGCAGCCCTATTTGAATTTTTCCACAGCCCTACCAGTGTGAGATGTTAGCCATCCCTCAACAACCTACTTCAGATGCACATACTTGCCAATAGAAAATTTTCAACAAAACCTCCATGCATTTGAATCACTCTTTAAGCCAGGCAGGAAATTATAACAGTAGTTAACATTTGGGGAGGGCAAGAAGAGGGAGCGTGGTTTATCTCTTGACTGCCCTCCTAATTTCAGAAAGACAAATAGAGAGGATAAGATATTTGATAACAAAGCCTCTTCTGGAAACATTTGCTTTGCATCTCTGCATCTCTCCGAATGTCCCATTGACTCTCAGTAAGAAACTTTAGAAACGTTCTCCATGCAGCATTTATCTGAGTTGTGTGAGGGATAAAGTTCATACAGTAACTGGAAACTTACAAAAAATGGTCAGTTTCCATAAACCAGCTTTTTAAATATGCTCTAGTCCCCCCTTATTCTCAGTTTCACTTTTCGCAGTTCCAGTTGCCCGCGGTCAAGTGTGACCCATAAGTATTAAATGGAAAATTCCTGAGTTTTGAATCGTGCACCATTCTTCGCAGTGTTAATGAAGTCTTGCACCGTCCTGTCCCATCACATCATGGACGTGAATCATCCCTTTGTCCAGCATGTTCATGCCGTATACACTACCTGCCTGTTTCTATATAGGAAAAAGTATAGTGTATGTAGGGTTTGGTACGATCCGAGGCTTCAGGTGTGCACTGGGGTCTTGGAACGTATCCTCCTTGGAGAAAGGGGGACTACTATCATCTAAATCAAATCAAGAGGCCTCCAAAAGTTTCTTTTTACTTAACAACTCCTTTGTCCTGAGTGATTTATAACTGATTGGGCCATAAAAAGAAAGTGAGAAGCCGATGAGAAAGCAACTGTCTGCTCTAAAGGAAGCTTTCTGTGCGGTTGAGCATCTTAGCAGTACCCAGAGACCGGGCAGGTCAAGTCTCAGTGCTGCTGACTGTGATATTTGAGGAGCCCCAGAGAAAGCAAGGCCCAGAAGACTGGAGCCATGGAAATGGCTCAGTTTGCAAAAAAGGGAAGAAAGTTGGATGCGACACACCACAGATCATGGCATGCTGGTATGGCCAAGCAGAGAAAGCAGACACTACAGTGACTCAGCTCTGAGGTCGGTGTGCAGGTGAGAACGCACTTCTCCTCCCGTCTGTTCATTACTTGTTCAGCCAGCAAGCCTGGAAAGCAATGGAGATGGAAAATGGCGGAGGCGTGAATAAACGCTCCCCTCCCGCAGCGTGCGGTCACTTAGGCGGCCAAATGTAAGAAACTGACGTTTCTTAGGTGCCATGGTCTGAATATGTGTTCCCCCACCTACGAAAAATTCAGACATTGAAAGCTAATCACCAGTATGATGGTGTTGGGAGGTGGGGCCTCTGAGGGTGATTAGGTGCTGAGGGCAGAACCCTTGTGATTGAGATGAGTGCCTTTATGAAGGAGACCCCAGAGAGCTGCCTTGCCCTTTCCGCAGAGTGAAGACAGGGCTAGAAGGCACAGTCTCTGAAGCAGAGAGCAGCCCCCACCAGACACAGAATCTGCACCTTAATCTAGGACTTGCCAGTTTCTGGAACTGTGAAAAATACATTTCTTTTGTTTATAAGCCACTTAGTGTATAATATTTTCTTATAGCAGCCCGAGCTGATCAAGTCATTAGGAATAAACACCTAAAAACCATTAGTATAATTTCAAGGCAGGAGCAATCTGTCTACATGGTATATGCATTTAGGTAGGAGGACTTTGTCAACTCGGACTCATGGTGTGCTGGGAATGTCCAGACAGCAGCATAACTGCAGGCCACCTTCGCATGCCGCAAAGGCCAAGGAGGTCACCGGCCATGGCTCCACCCATGACCATTAAAACCAGCACCGTTGCTTGACTGGGAGCCTGGGTAGCTAGAACAGTCCACAGGAGATGGCCAGCAGGGCGAACAATCTGGAAATCTCTTTTGAGCGATGGGGATAGGAGTCGGGAAGGCTTCATCTGGAGCAGACTTAGGGCATGAAAGGGTGCAGACTCCTGAGGCTCCAGGAACTGGGCCTCAGCTGATGGAAGGACAACTTCAATGAATCTGTGGCCTTACGTCTAGCTGCCTGGGGTGGTTTTAAGAAAAAACGACTCCCAATGTCCACACACCTTAGAAGAGATTCTTACTTAATTGAGCATAATTGGTCTAGGGCAGAGCTGGGCATTGGATTTTTTTTTTTTTTTTTTTTTAGCTCTCCATTGGGTTAAGTCAGAAGAGTTGTCTGACAGTGGAGCGGGCCACCCGCCCTGTGTAGAGGAAGAGAGCGTCAGAACTCAGGTCATGGCTGGCCTTCCTCACCTCAGGAAGTGGGCCAGAGTGTGCAAGGCCAGCCACAGTGGTGGGATGGGATCTGGGAAGGTGACCCCTGGTTTCTACTGGGGGAAACGTGTGTGTGACAGTTGCAGGAAAGCCCTGGACCTGCGAACCAGCCAGTAGAAGGCATCGGGGGAAGAGAGGCTGTGGTGTGGTGCAGTCGGGCCCCTGAGGCATAGTGAGCAAGGATCGGGGACAGGAGGACTCAGGGATCTCAGAGGCAGGCCCCGTGCGGCTCTAGCAACCTAGTGAGTCCCACCCTTAGGAGCTGCTCAGGAAAGGTTCACAGGTAAACAGATAGGCTCATGCACCTTCATTTGTAAAAATCAAGATAAGGCCACAATGAACAGAAAAGCAAACAAAATGAAGTTCAGCCCCACCAACTAAAGAAATACAATTTTTCAAAAATACCATGTTACGCCTATTCATCTAGCAAAACTTTTAAGTCATAAAATATGATTCTGCTATAGCAGATATACATCACATATGCATGCATACTAGCCTCCTTCCCACCCCTCAAACCCCCATTCCAGCCAGAGTGATGTCTCAAGGGGCCAATCCCTTCACACCAGGCTCCTGGGTAGCTGCCCTGCTTGTAAGCCAACTCCAAGCTCCCTGAAAAGCACAGCTCACGGTCCTTTCAAGGACCATCCTCTTTCTCTGTCTCGCCATCTCTGTCTCCCTGTCTCTCTTTTCCTCCCCACTTCTCTTCTCTCCCTCTCTCTCTCCCCACACGCCAGCCTCATGTCTGCCCAGCCCCGCGCAGTCCCCACGGCTGCTGAACCTCCTTCAGCCATCCCTGTGAGACACAACCTCCCCATCTGGACTTGACACATGCTGTTCCTTCTGCTGGAAACACTGCCGCACCTCAGTCTCCTTCCCTGGAACCCTCCGCCTCACCCTTCTCCTCTTCCTCCCCTTCGTCCATCCCTAAGAGCACAGCCTCACCAGTGTAGGGGCTCCCAGAGACCAAACATAGAACAATCTGAGTATCCAAAACAAAAATGGCAATAATAGACAATAACACTGACGAAAAAGTAATAAAGATGTATGACTCCTTAGTGATACCTGGAAAGAGAGAGAGACAGACAGATGATAAATACTATCTCTGAAGATAAATATACCAATGAAAGTGATTCTAAATTTCTCTTTCGTTTGTGGATTCTCCGTCTTTCCTCGCAGGCCTTGCTTTATCCACTACTGGTCTTTTTCTTGCTGCTCTGCAGGCTTTTCTCTAATGCCCGGGTCTCTTGGGAGCCAGGAACGGGGCGTAGCTAACCCAAACCTTGAGTTCTAGGTGGGACTTCCTTACCAGAGAGCTTTGATTTAGTGTGAGCTCTGGAAGGTCGGTGAGCTGTGTCATAGGCTTTGGGCCCCCTGGTGTTTCCGGGTCCAGGTTCTCTCCCTGGTTCCCCGCTGGCTGCAGCTCCCCCTGCCTGGCTTATGGGCTGCAGTTCCAGGCAAGCCTGCCATGTCCCCACCTCCCCATGAAGCGAGAGTCCCCTCTGCAGCACCCTGGGCCTCCCCTGAAGCGCTTGTGATCCCGTTTCACATGTCTTCCCTGCTTCCTGGTGACCTGAGCAAATGCAAAGCTGGAAGACACAGTGGACTCAAAACAAAATACAAAGCTGAAAAATGCAAAGCTGAAAAGAGACACGGCGGATTCACAGGGGGACAGGCCACAGATGAGAGTCAGGAGGGGCAGGAGGTGTGGCCTTTGAGTGAGCTGGTAACCATGGTCTCAGGGGGCTGTGGAAAGCCCCTGGGAACACTTGAGCCAGCAGGTGACTTGATCAGAGCTACAGTTGCCTCAGAAAGTAACTGAGGCAGCCAAGTGTGCCTTGGCTCCGGGTGTAACCCAGCACTGTCTCGGGAGGGAGAGCCGCTGCCAGCCCTGGGCTGGGGAGGATTCGAGGAAGCCCTGGCTTTCCCAGGCACCTGGGGCACGCGCTGGGGGGAGTCCGATGGCTCCACACCCGGCCTCTTTTATTCCGATGGTTGTGTTTTATTCTCATGTGTGTCAGGAAACCAATGTATCCGCTATGGTTTCACTTTAGCAATAGAGAGTGCCTCTTTAAAGAACGTAAGTGAGTCTTTAAAGAAACAATGGTTCTATTGGTCAGGGATTCTCAGATCTGGCAAAAATCACGATGAGGGATGCAGTGAAGTAGGATGACAATGGAGACATTTTCATCAACCCCATTACCCATTAAGCAGTCCCTCCCCTTCCCCGCTCCCTGCCCCACCCCTACCCCCTGGCCACCATTGATTTGCTTTCTGCCCTAGTTTGTCTGTTTTCATATAAACGAGATTATACACCGTGAGGCCTTTTGGGTCTGGCTTCACACTCTCAGCCTAGGTCTTCACGCTTCCTCCGCGCCGTAGCCTGTGTCTGTCTTCATGTCTGTGTTCGCTCCTTTCTGTGGGTGAGTTCAACGTTTCATTGTGTGGAAATACCATATTGTGTTTACCCATTTATCCATGGATTGAGCCTATACTTTTCCTATTCTTGTTTCATTCAGCCAATGTCGCACACAGGCCAAGCGGCCAGGCCACAGGGCTGACGGGGTCGTTCCTGCCTGCTGTGTCTGGTGGGAAAAGCAGGCTGTTCTGAGGAAATGACAAGCCTGCAACAAGGGCAAGAAGGCCATCAGAGAGGATTTCAGGAGGACGGGAGGTCTGTTCAGAGTCTGAATTCATCAGAAAGCATAGGAGAAGGGTGGCTGTCCAGGCGGATGGAACAGCAGGGAAAGAGTATGGCAGGTGCAAGGGGGTGGCCTTGTCAGCATCTCTGCAGTGATGGTGGAGGCAGGAGGTGGCAAGGACAAAGGCCGCAGAGTGGGGCGGGGGCACTCCTGGGGGACCACACCTGTAGGGGTGGTGTGTGGTCTGCTGAGGGGCTTGGACTGTATCCTGTGGGGGACGGCACCTCCCAGGAGCTCCAAGACAGATACCTCTGTGGGGCTTTCAAGCAAGGAAGTCGTGAGGCCAGGTCTGCTGCAGACCCCTTCCAGCAGGAGAGAAGAGAGTGACCCTGCGTTAGCCAACCTTGGAGCAAGGGGCCAGGGCAGTGGGACTGGAGGCGGAAGCAGGGAGACCCCAGGAAAGCCTCCGCGGCAGAACAGTGGGGTTTGGTGATTGCTTGGCCTTGGGGAGAGAGAGGAGAAATGCCTCTGGATCTGATGCATGGATACTACACAACCACGAGGGCCTGCATCCCAGAGCCCAACCCTGGAGCCCAGACATGGAAGGGCCCATCAGGTGCCAGAGTCAGGGCGTGCTCGGGAAGCAGCCCAGGGGAGGCACGCCCACGTCACCCAACTGCTGCCCTTCCTCTCACTGCATAGAGAGTACTGAGCCTGCTTCAGGAACCCGAGGACAGAACAGAGCCAGCGTTGTTCCTTTCACCCTCTCTAAGGGTAGCAATAGCCATGATAGTGGTCATCGGAAACATGACTGTTCAGGCAATGTCAACGTTATTGCAGAGAAACATCACATGAGGGTTTGCAGGGCCTAGCTCTCACTATTAGGCACAGGTGAACCCTGGCGGCAGAGGGGCAGAGGGGGTGTTGTGCTGGGGCTCTGAGCAGAGCTGCGGCCTGGGCTGACGGCAGGTAGCACTGCAGTCTCCAGTCTTGGTGCACAGGGTTGGTGGCAGGAGCCAGGGATGGTGGCCTGGCTCTCTCTGCTGTGGGGGGCCCAGGGTAGGGAAGCTAGCTAGACCCTGGCTCCAGGAAGGAAGCAGGGCCCCAGAGTCAGGCTGCGGCTCGCGATGGCTTCCAGGCTTAAGGATGAGGCAGGTAGCGAGAGGAAGGAACAGCCCAGGTGCTGAAACTGGCAAGCAGCACAGCTCAGCAAAGGATGGGGAATAGCTCCAAGGGCTGGTTACAGGAACATGAAGCGGGGAGGTAGATGAACTCAGGCTGGGAAATCAGCCTTCAGAGCGAGGAAGGAGTGACAGCATGAGAAGACAGGACCAGGCTGGGTGTGGTGGCTCAGGCCTATAATCCCAACACTGTGGGAGGCTGAGGGGGGCAGATTGTCTGAGCTTAGGAGTTCAAGACCAGCCTGGGCAACATGGCAAAACCCCGCCGCTACAAAAAAATTTAAAAATTGGCCAGGTGTGGTGGTGACACCGCCGCTAGTCAGCTACTGGGAGCTTGGGCAGGAGGATCGCTTAAGGCCCGCTGTCTCAGAAAAACAAAAAAGAAAAAAGAAGTTTTTTAATCAAAAAAAAGACAGGATCAAACTCGCGGGCATGGGGTATCCCCAGGGGAGGCCACTGAGAGGGAAGCTGATATCAACAGGGGGACGCTTGGTGAGCCTGACACCCACGCGTGCTCAGTGGACACAGGCACTCCATTGACTCAGACGGGCCACAGGAGGGCACTGCCCCGGGGGACCAGGACTGGGTTCACTACTCAGACGGGCCAGGGGGCATGCCCCCGGGGACCAGCATGAACCCTGGTCACGGTCAATACAGCGGTCTGTGCCTTTTGTGTCGCGGTCTTGCCGTGATTAACAAAACTATGTTCTGCTTTGAACAGGAGAAGGATGAAAAATGGAATGTCACCAAGTCTTTTTTTCCCCCTTGCCGATTGAAAGGAAGGATGTAACGCATACACAAGGTAGGTTTAGGAGAGCATTGCGATTTGCACTGAGGACAGCAGCAGCGTGCCTGGGGAAACCCGTCAGGGGAGGCTGTGCATGCTGCTCACACCGAGACGTTCTGCCTGGTCTCTATTTTAAATTTCCTGGACAGGCGAGTGCCCTCGCCTGTAATCCAGCATTTGGGAGGGCCGAGGCGGGCAGTCACCTTGAGGTCAGGGTTCAGACCGCTGGCCACATGTGTGAAACCGTCTCTCAAAATACAACCAAATTAGCTGCATAACAGCAGGCGTCTGTACTCATCCAGCTTACGTCGGGACGGTTGGACCAGGAGGAAAGTCGCTTGACCCAGGTAGGCGAGCTTGCCGTGAGCCAATATCGCACCACTGCGGACTCCAGCCTGGGGCGGACAGAGCGAGACTCTGGTTCAAAAAAAAAAAAAGAAAAAAAAAAATTCCTTTTGGTGGCCTGAAGCATACAATTAGTTAAAAGGCAAGACACATTTAGGATG